ACTCCACTCCCCACCTGGACGTGAGCCTTGTTTAGGCAGGAACCCTCCTCACTCCCTAGTATTCACAGTCTCAGGCGATGGCACCACCTTCCACCCATGTATGCAAATCAGAGAACTAGGAGTCATTCTTTATACCCTATTATTCTACTGTGTAGCCATGTATTATTTTTTTTGTTTTCCTTTTTTCAAGATGCAAATCTGAACATCTCGTCCCTTATATAAAACCCTTCAGTCCCTCTGCCCCATCCAGATCTAGACTGAAATCCTTGCCTGGCCAGTGTGGCTCGGTGGTTGAGTGTCCACCCATGAACCAAAAGATTGTGGTCGGATTTCCAGTCAGGGTACATGCCCGGATTTCAGGCTCGATCCCCAGTCGGGGGCGTGCAGGAGGCAGCCGATCAATGACTCTCTCAGCATTGATGTTTCTGTTTCTCTCTCCCTTCCTCTCTGAAATCAATAAAAAACAAACACACACACACATATTTTTAAAAAAAGACTCAAATCCTTTTTATGACTAACAAGGTCATACCTGGACTGGCCTCTGCCTCTCTTTCTAGCCTTGTCCCATAGCACTTCCCCCTTCCCCTTGCTTTATGACACCTTGACACACTGGCCTTCTTTTATTTCTTTACATACCTGGTGCTTCCTACTGCTGTAAAGACCTTCATGGGTACAATTCCTCTCCACAGAATGAACTTCCAACCTACCCTCCATCCTTTCACCCCATTGTATTTTCAAGTATCACTTCCTCTGTGACTGTGCAGTCCAAATCAGAAACCAAAATCTTTGCTTCAGTTTATCATCACATAGCTAAGTCTTTGACTATTTGGATTACTGTCTGTCTCTATTACTTAACCATAATTTCATCACAGCAAGACAGGGCACTCATCACAGTCCTAGGCACTTAGCAAGGACTCAAATAGTTACTGAATAAATTATTCAGGATTATCATTTCAAAGGTACATGTAGTATGCACTATTGCCACTAGAGGCTGCCTTGCTTCTCCTTTTATTCCTCCAGAGCACAAAAACTGTGAAGATCCAGGATATTTTAAAAACACACACATTTATGCTTAAGTCATTTACTATACATAAAATTGCAGTGATTCCAAAATATCATCCTTCACATACTACTTATTTTATTATTTCCCAACACATGTATATTAAGCAATTTGTTATTTCTCTTCAAACAGAATCACATTTTATTCAGATTTACTGAAAAAGAAAACTTTGTCATCGTTTAATCATTTAGAAACCTCTCAAAATAAGTGAATAACTACTAAAAATTTTTTTTTTAAGTTTTAAAACTATCCATTTCTAATCATGTCCTTCCCATGCCATTCCTAATCCCTCCCATTCCTCCATTCCAGAAATTGGTTCCATTTCCAATCTCTCTGGCAAATTCAATTAAAATAAGGATCAGCAATCCTTTTGGCCACGAAAAATATGTAACAGGACACAGCATTAGTTATTTTTAATACTATTTTCCTAACATGAGATTTCTTTCCATGTTTTTCTTCAATATATGTCACAGAAAATATTTAACTCCTAATATTCAAACATTCAGAGTTAATATTCTATAAAAAATATTTCACATTCTTAGTACTAACAATGTCCAAAAAACTTCTGGCAAAAACAAAACAAAAAACTCAAAGCTTCATTCAAATGAAAATTTTAGTTTACTGAGCCTGGGTAAACTGAAATTAAAGCCTACACTTAACAGTGGCATACCTTTACATGTAAACCAATAACCTGGCCTAAAGTTACATAAGAATGCTCTATTTTAATTGTTCCACAGAGCTAAAGGAGATACTTTACTGCTTGGGTATAATATGTAACTTACCTGATAACATAATTACTGCTACCTATTTACTTTGGTCCTTAAAAGAAGCTGTACAGAAAGAAAGAAAATCTTAAACCTGCAAAAGTAGCAAGTTATGTGTGAAGAAAATAGAAGCTCTTAGGAACAGCACTCTAATACGAACATCTCCTTTACCACCTCGAATTGTAATCAAGGAATGACATAAAAGATAAACTTTGAACTTACAAATTTAGTATAGTTCCTTCATGTGCTAACATTTGATAAAATCAAAGCTGTCTAAAGCATCTAAGTTTTAAAATAACTGTTTCACTGTCAATACCTGAATTGCAGCCTAAATGGGCAAGTTGCAAGGCATAGTGGGAGAATGGAATGTTAGTACTAAGAATGTGAAATATTTTTTATAGATTAACCCCTAATGTTCGAATTATAAATATTTCCTGTGACAATATATTGAAGGAAAACATGGAGAATGGATGTGGACGTTAAGAGAACTGATTTTAGTGCCTGTGAATATTTATGAGTGGTGTTGACCAGGTCAATGAACGTTCCTAGGCTTAAATTTACTTTTCTCTCTACCTGATGGGACTGCATGTGATATTTTGAAGGGTCCCCTGGTGGTGCAAAATATGTATTAAGTCCTAAGTGTTTATTGAGCCCCTCACAGCTTGTTCTCCAAGTCAAAGCTAGGAGAATATTCACAGATCCTAGCAAACCCATCTTCCGTTTACTTTCGGCGCCTCCCACGCCCCGCCCCACCTGCGGGTTTACAGCACTAACTCCAGGCCCAGCCGGCGCCGCTGCCAGGCCTCCAGGGCGGGCAGGCACGTGGCTGGGAAGGGAAGGAAGAGAAAAGGAGCCAAATTCTAACCACTGTCCTGGGGACCTGCTACACGTGCAGGGTAAACGCCACCACTTAGCGGCAAACTAGAAAGAAGAAGCGCTAAAGCAGCAGCGAGTCCGCGGGCGTGGGCCCAGTTTCGGTGCCATCGCACTGGTCTGTGCACTGGTCCCCGGATTTTACCTGGGGCTTATCCCGGTCAAGCCCGATCCAGGAATGAAGCCTCCTCAGCGCGAAGGCAGGACCCAACGCTTTGGCAGAGTTCTCCTCTGCCCCCTGAAAAGACAGCCGGGACAGCCAAAAGAACCGGGCACCGTCACAACCGCATCTCAACCGCGGAACGCCCCCGAAACCTACCTGGCCAGCAACTGCTCTCGCGATAATTCTAGGACCAGTCCTCCGTAATCCCGCCCCCTCCTAGTCCCCTAGCCAATCAAACAGGAGTGTGGGCGGGGTTTTGCCTTTGAGTCAAGAGCGGCTTTGCTAGTCCTTGCAGTGGACTGAGGAGGCTGGGGCGGGGCGCGCGCAGGACGGGG